TCTTTTTTTGGAGATTTTTAACAAATTGAAAGATGTTAGAGGAATAAAGTAACACAGTAACCTTTTCGCACTTATAAACTAAATTCAAGGGACACTTGTCTTGCTTATGATGAACGCACCGTATAATTTTATTGTATTATTATATTTTTCTTTTTCATGTTCACTTTGGCCTGCGAAGTATCACCACTTTTTCGAACAAAAACTTTCTTTAAAGAATACAATAGATACGTAAAAGTAAACATTCTTAACATTGACGGTAGTTAAATAAAAAAATTGATAATTTTATTGTCATTTTAACCATACAGCCAAATGTTCACCAGTTTCTAGGTTATATAAGCAAATACTTTTAACAAATAAACAAGAATTTGAGTGAAGTAAGAACTTAATAAGAAGAAGAACGTAAGAAGTAAGAAGAATTGATGATTAAACGAACTTACCTTAAGTGATGTTCTATCATAATTATACGATGGCTTCGTCTGAAGAGATTAGAATACTTGTAGTAGCGCGTACCGTGTGGCCATTCATACACTATAGTTGAGAAACACATAAATAAAGGAAAAATGAAATACATTTTTTAATTTCTACTTTTCTATTGGCAACACTGGTCGTCGCCATTTGTCATTTAGTTCAGAACCTTTATTTTTTTTTTTTTTTTTTTTATAAATTTTTCTTTGGGTTAAGGGAGGGGGGGAGCTAATCTCTTCAGACGAAGCCATCGTATAATTATGATAGAACATCACTTAAGGTAAGTTCGTTTAATCATCAATTATACTTTGCTTCGTCTTCGAGATTAGAATACTTGTAGATCTTTAGAGACATGGAATTTATATAAAAAAAAAAAAATCATTTATTAATATTGTTTATGTAATCTAAACATATTTATTAATACTATAATTTTTATAAACATACAAAGCTAACATTTCATAAAAAATGCTATATTAGCAATCTTATAAAAATCACATCGTACTTATTAACTCTTTACTTAGAATCTTGATTTAGAATAGACATAGCGAAATCATTATTATCATCTGTAATCACAGTTTTGTGGTAGAAACGAGCAAATACACAGGATGTATCTGACCATCCTGCTGTCCTACGGATGAGATCAAGATTAATTCCTTGTCTATAAGCGGAAGATGTTGAAGCATGTCTTGTTGAGTGAGCAGTAAATATGCTGGTATCTATGCCACTTTTAAATAAGATTTCCTTGATCCATCTACTGATGGATTGAGAACAAATTGGTTTATGAGGGTGTTTAAAACTAATAAATAAATTATCACTATTTCTAATATTACTGGTTTTTTCTAAATACATGGATAATGCGTTTGCTGGACAGATCTGCTTTTTTTCTTTTAGAAATGGAATTGTTAGACAGGGTTGGAGTGATCCAGCTCGTGACGTTTTTATCAAATCGGGTATTTTAATAATGACTTTTTCGTTGTTAATATATTGAATATTCTGTATTTTAATTTTACTTAATGTTTGCACTCTATGTGCAGTAACAAGTGCTAGTAGAGTAACTACTTTTTTGGACAAATTTTCTAAACTAATACTATCATTAGATTACCAGGATTCTAGAAATTTTAATACAATAGAAGGGTTCCAAGTAACATTATATTTTGGTAACGGCGGACGAAGGCGGTAAAAGCCCTTAAACAATCTTGTGATTCTGTCATCAGCCCCTATTTTACTACTTATGATCAAGGATAAAGCAGATCTGTAACTGTTTAATGTGCTATATTGTGCTCCGGTGTGGTAAATTTTTGTCAAAAATGAAATTACATGGGGAACTGACGCTTCATAAAAATTAATATTATGATTATTACAATAATCCGACCATTTTTTAAAAACTACTCCATATTGCTTAATTGAGTTGTCCGATATTGAAGCGCACATAATATCTAATGCACTTGCTGGGATACCTCTTCGTGATAATGCTGTGCGGATAATTTCGCGGCTACCAGCATAACTTTGTGTTGTAAGTGTCTGTTGGGAACAGAAGTCAAAACATTTGTATTTGTTCCAAGTATAATCATATGACTACATAACATTTTGAAGATAGGGAACCATGGTTGTGTGGGCCAAAAGGGAACCACAACTATGCCTTCTGCGTTGTCGGTAATAATTTTACGAACTACCTTTAATATTACTGATATAGGTGGAAAGGCATAAAAATATAAACTGTGCCAATTTAGGGTAAAAGAATTAACAGTTGAATGTTTTACATTTGTTATTTAATCTGGTTGCAAATAAATCTATGTTTGGTTCTCCAAAATTTTTAACAATATTTTGGAAGGCTTGGTCAGTTAGTTCCCACTCAATGTCAGGATGTGAGCGTCGCGATTCCGCATCTGCCACTTCATTATCTTGTGAACTAATGTAAGATGCGTATACAAATATGTTTCTTTTTTCACACCATTCCCACAACTTTTTGGTAACATTGGTAAGATGTGGGAATCGCACGCCCCCCATTTCTGTTATGTATGAAATCGCAGTTGTATTGTCTATACGAAGAAGTATTTGACAATTACTTAAAGCATGAGCAAAAACTTGTAAGGCAAAAAAACTTGCTAATATTTCTAGATAATTAATATGCATATTCTTTTCATTATCACTCCATTTTCCATTAGCTTTCTCCTTACCGCATGCTGCCCCCCACCCTGTTTTGCTAGCATCAGAAAAGATTTCAATGCAATAGAAATCATCTCTAATTGGATTCGCCGAAGTATCAATGTGACTCAACCACCAATCAAAATCAGTTACTAAAGTATTAGGAATTATCATAAAACTATCATAGTTTTTTGTTTTTTCTAAAGCCAAATACTTACATCGTTCAATATGTTTGGTGTATTGAACAACACTTCAATTTTTTAAATTTGGATATTTCTTGTTTTATCAGATATCTTTTTTCGTCCGTAAGGGCAATACTATAATGTTTTGTATCAATCATAAAACCCAAATATTTACATATAGTATTAGGCGTCAAATTACTTTTTTCATAATTTATAACGAAACCTAATGATTCCAATATTATTATTGTTTGAGTAACGTTTTGCTGGCAATTGCGGAACGAATTTGATATTAAACATAAATCGTCCAAATAAATTGATGATATATATCCCAATGATCTCAGTAACAATATAACCGGTTTCATTAGTTTTGTGAAAACTAATGGTGCTGTATTAAGTCCAAAGGGAAGGACATTAAATTCATATATTCTTTTATTAAATGTGAAACGTAAATATTTTTTATATACTTCATTTATATTAATTAAAAAATATGCGTCTTTTAAATCAATAGTACATAGAAATGAATTTTTAGAAACCAGTTTTAATGTCGTTCTAAGATCTTCCATTTTAAAGTGATCAGTTGTAATAAATTTATTTAGTGACTTTAAATTTAAAATAAAACGCTTCTTGCCATTCGGTTTTGGCACTAAAAAGATATCTGATATGTATTGCTTATCACAGGGACTACATTCAGAAACTGCACCTGACTCTAATAATTCGTTGATAACAGTTTGAAATTCATTAATTTCTTTAGCGGAATATTTTTTGGGTAAAAACTTGCAATGCTGTTGAGGAGTGGTATGAAAAGGTATTTTATAACCTTCTTTAATCCAAGAAAGAATATTTCTATCGTCGGTTATAAATTTCCATCTTTCATAAAATAAGGATAACCTACTGGCTGTGCGGTATACCTCATCGAACGGCGTATCTGTGTGCGCCCGCGTGAGCGCTGAGGCGGCATTGGCGGCGGCGGCGGAGGCGGCGGCAGCGGCGTTTGATATGCTATTGGATGCGGCGGAGGTAGTGAGGGGGTTTGGTATCTGCGAGGCTGTTGTGCAACTGCCGGTCTCCTCCCTGCTCCCGTTTGCCTCGCCGGTGGGAGAGGAGGTCTCATGTTTAAAGACCGAGCTTGACTAAATCTAGGTTGCAGAATGGTTGTCTTAGGTTGAGATGTATTTTTCATTTCCGCACCTGATTTGTAAATAGCTTTAGCTGCTTTTAAAGTGTCAGACAATTTTTCGCCGAACAAATAGCTATCTATCTCAGTAGTGTATAATTGATCTTTTATATCTTTTTTTATAGTGGAAGTCACAAAACTTCTGCGGGACATAGATTCAACATACTGAGAGTCACATAAAATTCTGCCGGAATCTAGTAAAAGTTTTATAATATCGGTGTCTTTATTCTGACTAGTGAATATTTTAGTTAATGCGTGACCAATGCAAGTTATAGCAATAGCTAACTGATTTTGTTTAATTTCAATAGCTTTGTCCTTTTTGATCAATGTATCCGACAAAGCAGCTTTTATTTCTGCATTTAATCGAGGAGGACCAATTTTTTGGCAATTTTCTGATAAAAAATATTTTTCGAACAGTTCTTTTTTGACATCCTTTTGTAGACCTGCAGTAGCAATATGTTCCCAGCGAACAGCGAGTTCGTTTTGTATTGGTAAACTATACTTTTTATTCTTTGAAGGGGTTTCACCCAAAAGTTCGAGAATATTATCGTCTAACATAGTTTCAGGTTCGATTTGGTCGACTGAGATTGAAGGTATTTCGGAAATATTTGATTCAATAATTTGTGCTTGAGGTTCTATTAAGTGTAAAATAGAATCTTGCATATCTCTTGGAGATGATAAATTCACTACAACATCGCTTACTGTCGTGGCTTCTTCCATAATGACTTTTTGTTGGTTGTCTAGAAGAGATAAGAAAAAAGTTGAAATAACTTATTTCGTTCCATTAATTATATAATTCTAAACCTGAATTTAAGTCATTTTTGTGAAGGTGCCATCCTTATTAGATGAACTCGACACATTTCATATAGGAATACAAAGGCGATAGTCTTATTAAACTACCCTCAATGTATATTATCGTGAAGGCTACACTCTCTTTGAAGTGTGCTCAACACATTTGAACCTGAATTATGATTAGATTATTCAATACACAAATCGAAGATCTGAAGATTACGAAAAAATAATTTGCTACATACCTTCTTGTAATGACAATCCTGCATCGGAACTATTTGGAGATGAACTCATCAATCGTTTTTGGGAGCGTTTTCTCACTTTTTTTTCTAACTTTCTTATTTTTCTCATAATATAATCGTCACTGTCTTTATTTTTACGTTTAGGCATCTTATTTTTCTAATATACCACACAGAGATGTGTCGAACGGCCGGGCACTGAAACGCGAATGACAAATGGCGACGACCAGTGTTGCCAATAGAAAAGTAGAAATTAAAAAATGTATTTCATTTTTCCTTTATTTATGTGTTTCTCAACTATAGTGTATGAATGGCCACACGGTACGCGCTACTACAAGTATTCTAATCTCGAAGACGAAGCAAAGTATAATTAGTAAAAATACTAGCTATTAACAGTTCTTATTTCATTCTAATTCTCGTCTACTGTTTAAAAATATCCATTTTCTAGAATAATTACTTCTTTCGACTGATACCAGTTTTAGCGTCGCTGACGCATGTGTATTTATTTGCGATCGTTATCTTGCAGATACTAACTCGTGTGGAATTTTTAAATATCGTGTTGTTATATTGGTTGCATAGTTTATAGGCACCGTGGACCACGAACGACCTCAAATCCGATTTTGGCGAGCGTGGAGGGTTATGGCCCATTATCCTTAATCATCCATAAGAAAGTCCTGAGCCTCTGCAGTGGGCACGTATCAGGGCTGATGATGATGATGATGTAGTTTATAGATTTTTTATTTGTATATATTTTAATAGGCGATTCGGAAAATATAGTATTACCATAATATGGTAATAACATTTAGAGTGGACCACCCTTATCACTGAGGGATATAAAAAATAGATAACAACCTTTTTTTAATACCTTCTGAATATACATGTCGCAACATCTTTACGAAGATCGTTTGATTTAGTTTCTTTTATTTTAATTGCTAGTTACTCGATTGTAGAGAGAGCGTGATCATCGATACTTTTAGTTTTATTATAATGGTGACACTGACTTTGACAGTTCGTTAACTAAAAGCAAATTGTCGCCATTTTCGCACACATTGTGTTTCCGATCGCCGAGGAGTAAAGACATCCGACGACATTACGCTCATCTCGTTATATTTTCGTATGAAAAGTGATAAAATGGAACAAATCCACGTTGATATATACGCCTGCAGTGTTATTTTAAAGATAGTCCTCCGATATGGACGATCTATTTGGGCTTCGTAATAGCCCCTTCGGACTACCCGCCGACATACATATAAATCGGTCAAGCCGTTTCGGAGGACTAAAACTATGCCTCGAGAATTATATACATTTACATTCTTTCAAAACAAAATGACACTTTTTGATAAACTCTATTGAAAGAAAACAATCAAAGAATTATGAACTTAATGGCCTAAAAGAATGACTCACTAATTGCGTAGGTGAATTTGCTGCGCTCCATTTTATTAAGGTGTCGCGTCCCGAGTTCCCGCCAATTCGTTAGTGTTGCCAAGTGGCTCGGAATGTTTTCTACTTTACAAAGTTTCAGTGTACATTAATCATTGCTAGTTTGTTCTCAGTAATTTAGTTAATGGCTTTTTAGGCCCACCGCTGTTGAACACTGAATGTTCTTAAGCTTTACGTTGTTGTAATCAAGAGATTTACCTATGCATTAATTCAGAAAATATTTAAATGACTGTTTATAATGAAATTTAATATTTTGTTTCATAAAATAATATTACAATGCCAATTAATAATATAATTTGTATCAATAAAAGTGCTCCTTTCCTATATTAATATTTTCCTAATATTGCTGTAGAAGAATCGAAAAAAAATTGTGTTTATATGTTGTCTCTACTGTGATTACTTCGCTTTTATATTTAAACCATAAACCATAGATAATAATAATTATATTTGATCAATTTTGTAATCATAATGCTTTACTGGAAAATATTCTTAATGAAATATGCTTAAAAAATCCAATCTGAGATGGCACCTGAACCCACTACCTTTTCCAATCTGGGCTACTGCTCTAACCACTGGGTAGTTCCCAGGATCCAATAGAACTAGTAGGAAAAAGCAGAGTGCTTGAAAAAATTGTCAGTCTTGTTAGTTCCTGGGTAGATAATGTTAGAGCAGTCGCGTGGGTTGAGTGTGAGTCCCATCTCAGTGTACCTGGGGCTGGTAGATTATTTAAGCATCTTTCATTAAGAATGTTTTCTATAGATAAAAATATAAACACTTTAAACATACACACCGCCGCGCCAAGAAGTTGAAATATCTTTATATTTATTGCACATTCGCAGCTTCCGCTCTCAGTTCTTCGACTACTGCATCAAAACTCACTTTTGGAGCGTCGGCATCATCAACGGTTATGAGAAGTATTATGTTTACATATCTGCCTGTTCACCTTGTCTACATGAGAGTTGTCATTAAGAATTTATGACCGTTCAATCTTAGGTCCAAGCCGTTTTCGAGGCTTGATTTATTTCAAACAGTAATGTAAAAAGAGTTAAAAAAAAACTTAATTGTATTTTTAACAAAATAAATTTGATAAACATTTCAACACCGATTACGAATAAAACAACAAAGTGCGTGCAGTCTCAAATTTGATTTTGCATCTTATACTAGACACAATAAAAATAACATCGAGTTATTTTTATTATGTCTTTTATTTTATTGCCTTTTATGTAAGGTTACGTAATGTATATGTATAGCTTTCAAATATTTTATTATAATCGCTCAATAAGAAATATTTATGTTCCATTACATTTTTATTACGTTGTTAATGTTCGTATGAATATTTCATTTTGCATTAAAGTTTTTGTGAATTTTTACAATGAATCTTGTTGCCATAATTGTTTTTCGTAAGTGTATTATATACTTAAGATATTTAAAAGGCTGATGAAATTGATCATCATATCTTAAGGTAAGAAGAAACACAAATACATTAAAAAAAAATACTTTATTTTTCAGTCTTCCACGTCAAAGTCAATTCAAAAGAATCTGAAGAAATATTCAACTATAATGTAGATAAAATTTTTAAATCCGTCATTGGACGTGAAGCTGATTATGTTCAAGAGACCACTCACGCTTTTCCAGATATACCAGATGAAGAATTTTTCAATTTCACAAAACATAAACGAAAACATTCGCAAACTTTTCTTTACAAAAACAAAACAGCAATTAAACATTTTCTTACACTTAAAAATAGCACAAATAAAAATGAAAAGGTAACAGCTAACCACACTATGAAGAATAAAGTAAATTCCACAGAAGACGAAAATCCATTTAAAACAATTAACGATATCGAAAACAGAATGAGAGCGTTAGAAATAGAGAGGATACTTGCGAACGACCTAAATCCTTTGCCTAACTTCGACAAAGACGAGGATGATACCGCATTGATTACCCGTAGGTTTGACAAACTGAAGAAAGAATTCGAAATTGGTGACAGCAGAAGGCGAGAAAGACAGGTGAAAAGCAGAAACATAATACGAAACAGAACAATATCGATTATGGACCATTTCATATATGCTACAAGATACAAGCTGCCTTACTCCCAGATACTAAGAGCGAAATACCGTGATTCGGAAAATTACAGAATAGGATATTGTTTCGGTTTACTTTATCAGTTGAAAAGGCAGCAGATTTTAATGTATACTGAATTGTCGTTACACCAATTCAATATAGAGCATCTTCATTTACACATGAAGTTGTATGAAAAAGTGGTGAGGCTTGACGTTGACATAAAGGATACTATGCGGCTCATTAGGCAGTACGAGGCGAAAAGACGAGTAAGAGAAGATCCAAATTATTACGACATATATGAAGAAGAACAAACAGCAAGGACGCCAGGGCGTTTAGGAATATAAGCCGGTTCAGAAACAAAACGTACATAAATAAAATAAATATACACAAGTAAAAGCACACAAATTGTATTGTTAAAAATCAAAATGTGTCAAAAATAACAAAACATGTTTTAAGCTTTTTAAAGAATTCACTTACCCCCGGTTTCAATAATCAAAAAACTATCCGTTTTTGCTACCACCAGTAGCATTTCCTACCGATGGTAGCAAAAAAGTGTTTCAATAACATTCCATTGGTAGGTAAAGCTACCGAAGGTGTGCTACTAACGGATTGATCTGATACTGATAACCGTTCGTAGGCAAAATGTATGAAAATGGCGCGAAAAGATGTTTCAATAAAAAAATCTATCCGTCGGTAGAGCTGTCAAACTTACTATCCGTAGCTTATCTGTCAAATTTGCCTACCGGCCATTTTCCGTCGGTTATCGTAAAAATATTTATAAATGACACGTTTTCCCTTGTTAATTAATAGAAAATTAATAGTTTTTCATTAAAAAATTAATATTGTAGAAGAGTTTGATGTGTTTTGTGGTTCCAATTAGAAGAATTTAAGTTGTAATCATGCCAATGTTTGTACCTTTAAGTCTCATACTACATGTAAATCATTGCTCCAGATGCTTTCTACAATATGTTTCTGTTGAAAAACTTAATGATTTACCTCTATATAATTATGAAAAACCTTGTTCTGATGAAACTGAATTAGCCACCCACTTGTACCAAACTTATACACGTTACATTAGTTTATACCCTTTATTTTTTAATTAACTCTGATATTGATTTAATTCTTAATAAAACCCAATTTGGATATAACTTATCTATTTTACAAATAAAAAACAATTCATAAAAATCAACATAATTTTTATATTATTCAATTGCATTTTTCTACGTTTGTTTAACGATTTGATACAATTATTCCCCTTTTTCTAATAACCATTCATTTATCATCCTATGTCAATGGATCACAATTGTTGACTGTCAATTTCATTAATTTTATCTTGCGAATTCATTATGTATAGTAATATATACAAATCACTTTATACAATTAAAATTTTATAATAAAGGTGAACTCTATATATAATTCCCGCTAAGCTTCTACGGAACATAAATCAACTTTACTTTTTGGCATATTTAAAGGCAAAGGGATATAGCACATACAACCTAGTCTAGAGTGATAATATTCACATTGAGACGTTTTAAATCCTTTTTTTGAAGCAAAAATTGAAATATATTGAAATTGAAATAGATGGTGAGGATCGTAAAAGTAAGACGTTCGCGTTCTTGTACCTACTAAATTGATACAACACTGCTCATAATCATGCACCGTACCATTTCAATGAACTGTGTAATGCACACGTTTATTTATATTCCGAAATTTAATTAGAAATAAAAAAACTTATATAAACAAATGATGTTATTTCAGGGGTTGTAAACATTTTTCAAAAGGTTATATCTCTAATTTTATTTTTGCAAATAATAATAATACGGATATAAGATGTATAATCTTATTTTTTATCGAGTTCAATGAAAGAGAAGGTTTCTCATTCAAGTGTAACTAATTTTGTATAACGATTTGTTGACATTAGCCTCTATGAATTTCATTACTTTTTCAATTTTTTAGTACTTTGAATTGTAAATCAATATCGAATAAAATACTTGTACAGTAGGTGGCAAATTCAGTTTCATCAGCACCAGGTTTTTCATATATTATATAGAGGTAAATCATTAAGTTTTTCAAAAGAAACATATTGTAGAAAGCATTTGGACCAATAATTAATTGGTAATAAGAGCCCTTAAAGGTACAAACATTGACATGATTACAACTTAAATTCTTCTAATTGGAACCACAAAACACATTAAGGTCTGCTACAATATAATTTTTTAAATGAAAAATTGTTACTTTCCTTTTTATTAACAAGGGAAAACGTGTTATGTATAAATATTTTTACGATAAATCATACTAAATAAAAAAGTTTAATTTAATGAGCCAAATGTTCCGAATCGCTGTATCTTGTCTGCAGCATAAAATATTTCTATTCCATTTTTATCTAAAAAAATGAAATTTTTTGTTCAAGTAAAAAAATTACTAAAAACTTTTAAAGAGATAAATCTAAACTATTTGTTGTAATAGTAACTTTTTTGTTTACATCAGAATTCCATTTCAGACGATAATTTGTTTCATAATAACACCACTTTTAGGAACCTAACCATACAATAAATAAGTCATAATAATTCCAAAACAAATTTCAAATTTAGTTTCGGTACGTAATAAGTTCACCTCTTTCCTATTGATGTCTCTGTCTTCCTTCTTACGATTTCGATTTTGTCCAAGAAATTATTAAATGTTAAAGACCAACATTTCAGTATAATCATAATATTACCTAAGACAAGGCTGTATGGAAAGATCCCTTTTCTTCGAATTATATGATTACAATTTTAAATAATGACCTACCGACCGTTCCGTTCGTAGTTGGTAGGCGCCTACTGATGATTGTGAAACGCAAAAACGAATGGTTGTCGGTAGCTCAAAAAACGGTCGGTAGCTGCTACCAATGGTTGTCGGTATATTATTGAAACCGGGGGTTAGTAGTACATGTTTTGCAATGTTAGGTTTTTGTTAATGTATGTGTAAAGAATAAGGCAAACTTAAAACGCCTCTAGTTTCCTGGAAGTATACCCGCCACGTTTGGGAGTGGTTATTGGACTGTATAGTAAACAGCACGTCAAGAATGAAAGATTTCGACGATACAACAGCTTCAGTAATCCATCAGCTTGCGATGTCTTCATCTTGAGTGTCCTTGTTGTTCGCTTATGGGAAAATGTAAATAAATCGAAGATTATGCCGCGACGACTCATCCCCAATAATATTCATAAAATTAAAAGTAACTCTGTCTATTTGGTAGACAGCTGTTACACCAATTGATTCACATCTGTCAACATTGATCGATCGATGTTGTAGCTTCGGCTGATACCGGGTGCTAAACAATTGATCAATTGCCATACGATGCCATCGATTACGTTAAATAATCAATTGGTGTAGGAGAAACTGTCGATCGACGTTGACCTATCCACTCCCACCAAACGCTTCAATCGATGGATATATTATTGTAGTAAAAACGGTCGACGTCAAATAATCTATTCTACCATCGATCGATGGCCTTGATCGAACTTAAATTGATTGGTACGGTAAAAACTATCGATCGACATCAACTAATCCATTCCATAGACGCTTGGTATAGTAGAAACTGTCGTTCGACATCAATTAATCTATTCCACTATCTATCAATGGCTTCGGTCGATAGGCGATCGATTGGTGTGGTAACACCTATACTCTTTCAGTTCTCAGCCATTGGATTATTTAAATGAAATTTGAGACAGATATTTGACGTTAGGAAAAGACATGGGTTACCTTTTATCGTGACAAAAAAGCTGAAGGTATTGAAATAGGGGTAAAGTATTCGGTTGGTGACAATTTCAAGGTTTAAAGAAGAGCGCATGGTATAATAGGAAGAATGTTGAAAAGAAGAGCACTAAACAATTAATCTATTTTTTTTATTCAAGGATAGTCTTCAATACATCTAAATATAAAAGCAGATCGTTCGCATATTGCATTCATTTACAATAGAGCTATTGGTAAAAATTGCACCAATGCCAATATCGATACAACAGTGTTTTCACTGCGAAAATGGACGATAGGGCACTACTAGGTACTAAAAACAAAAAAAGCATACCTTAATTAGCAGATCAATTTGAACGCTATCGTTCATTCACTTGCGGTTTATTTTCGTAGCAATTCCGCTTATTGTTAGACCAGTAAAAGAGCTGACGATGACTACATTTTGTAGCATCGACTCATTGGAAAAAATACTGTGGACTTTAAAAAGAGAAGACGACCGGAAAAAACAGTCGCAACAATAGCTGACTCACAATTTTTTTTATCCGTGTTCATTTATTCAGCCGTTCCGCTGTCTGTCGGGCTGGCAATACTCCAAACGAGCTGGCAACATTGAACCGAGGCTCCGTTCGCAATTTAAACACCGCTATCTATTAAGAACGGTTTACATAATTTTCTTAATTTTTACATTTGGCCATATTGCCACTCTATTACTAGGGTATTCCGGTTTTATGAGCTTTATTTGTATATTATAATAAAATTATATATAATAATATACATAGTTTTATTACGAAATTATTTGTTACTGAGTCGTCAAAAGTAAAAAGGGGAGATTACTATAAAATCTATAAATATTTAAGGTATTTTGAGGTTCAGCGTAATGGGTTATCAATTTTGAATTCTACCCTCAATTATTGAAAGTTTGAAATCAAGCAGAGAACCGTTCTATTTGATCAACTTTGAATTCATAAATCATAATGCTCTATGTAGAGAAATTTGACAGTTTTTATAGCTTGATGCAATGTTGACTTGAATGTACCCGTTATTTTTAAAGTTTGGTAATTATTCTTAATTTGAAGTTTTAAATATGCAGCATGATGGTTCGCCCTGTTCACTTAATTTGGCATTGTTTTTTATGAGTCATACAGTTTCGTGCTTAGTTCTAGCGTAAAAATTATGTTCGGTCATATGAATGCATTATTTTGTCACGTTTTTAGTCGAGTTTTTATCACGAAAATGTGCGTGTGACAATATTTAATCGTTTTGAGTTAATTTTTACCGTTTATTGCTGAGGTTGTTAGATTTAATAATTTATGGATTCTCACTTAAACCTCCTTCCTTATATATAGTAAAGAATCTACATTTATAAAAGGCAAAGACTGAGTAATAAATCAAGGCACAACACAAACTACTGATTAAATGGAGCTGAAAGAACAATGGCCATCTGCCTAACATGCTTGGACTAATAAAATCGAATAAAACGTAACTTGATGAAACATATGTTATTTTGTTTGCCTATGTAACTAGAACAAAGAAAGACATCAAATATATTTTTAAAAGCTAGGAGTATCGAGTAATTGTGTAATATGTTTTTGAGGTTATGTCGTATTATTTT